GCAGTACCCCTCACTGCCCTTGGCCTGTAGGCAAGCAACAGGAACCGGTGGCACCATCTGAGCATATTCCGCTGGTGAGAGGAACAAAAAGTAGAACACAGACAAAGTAGCAGAGTAGCAGCCTGCCCCAAAGTCTGAAATATGTTGCAAACTGCCACCAGGACCCAGTGAAAATAGTTGAGGAATGAGGTGACATAGGAGAAATTGAGAAGTTAATCACTCAAAATGCAATTAAGAAATGTTGGTTCACTGAGAGACAAAGCCCGAGATGACACGACAATATAACATTAAAACACAGATTTAATGAAGTGAAAATATAAATTACCAGCTATGTTCTACGGTGAAACTCCTTATCACTATGCAAAGTTATGCTAAACAAGTTCAAATGAGTCACGAGATCCTAATAAATCTTTCATCATAATCTGATCACCCTAGAGACAAGTAGAGGATTAATATGTTAATTTGACACATCAGATTGCGGGAGAGTAAATCAGTTTGCAGCTAATTGTTTTATTTTTCTGGTTCCATTGTCAGTGAAGAAAAGCAATATACCCTCTTCACTCTTTAAAGATGACTGCTCCAGCATCTTAGAGTTTTCAGACAAATGCTACATTAGATGCTTACACCATGCAGCTTTGAAGAGATTAATTCAAAGTAGTCTGCGAAAAAGGGACTTGCAAAGTAATATAATGAAGGGGGAAAATGGTACTGTACAAACAGTATAATCCCTCCTTTGTTTTACATGGATCTGAGCCAGGCCGAATATAATTACCCTAGCTAGCATCTTACGTGTTCCCTAGAATAGCTTTGAGAATGCAAGTGGTCAGCTGAATGAGGTAGCATGAGAGCCATTCCGATCAGCAGTCCATTCACAAGTAGGGGTTCCATTACATAAAAAGGTGCATTTGAGAACTTTAGACATGCACATGCACAATCATTAAGTACTGACCTCAGAGGAAGTATACAATGTTCAAAATGACTCTGACAATACCTCTAAGAATTAATGATCAGATGGGTTGATACCAAAATAAAGAAAAGGCTTTTGGATGTAACGAGTGCCACAGCAGGACCAGGGAATCCAGCTTTCAAATGTCAGAGTGATGTGGTGTCCTGACATCCCTGGTGATATAATCATATATCAATCACACCTGAAGGGCAAAGGGGCATCTGGCAGGCAGAGTTGACATGGCACCAGTGAGCAAGCCTGTGTCTGGCCGGGCAGGTGGCGTGTCAGACTATCAGGAACAGAGGTCACTCCAGGCAACAAGGCAGAGTGAGGGAGCTGTACTGTGGCAAAAGCCATTAGATAATTAAACCACCCATACAACAGTGTGAAGTTTTCAAGTTTTAGCATAAATAAAAGTCATCTGAAACCTTATTGTGCAGAGGAATTCTATTTTTCAGTTGACAGTTGACATTTTCTCTATAAAACAGGCATAAAAATAGATGTTCCATTATTATACATTACATAATATGTAAATAAATTACATTCTACATTAATTTATACAACATGCTCCCAACCAAGTTGGCTTTGTTGGGAGCAATTATTTATTCTCCTCTGATCCTTTCAGCCTTGTAGCTCCACCCAGGAGAATGTGCAATTTTGACCTAAAACATGTCAGGAGTCTGTCAAAATACAGGGAAATCTGCTACAAAATTAGCCATTGGTTAGAGGCCTCTACATATATTATGATGTAAAAAGGTTGTCAAGAAGCTGTCCCAACAATGTGGCTGCTTTAGAGAGCACAACATCCAGCAACATTACTCCTTTGGAATTCTGACAATTTGCTATAGCCTTCTCCCTAAAGTAAGTTTTACCAACCAATCAGCTGCATGAATGCCAGTGTGGAATTTCTGTGTCAATAATGTCACACACAAAACCTTTGTTTCATTGGACAATGCAAAAACAATGTACAGTACATGGCAATTTACAACCAATATCATGTGTAGTTATTGGAGTCTTTGTGGAATTCCAAGGGGGACATTTCTTCAAGGCTGAACCGAAACAGTAACAGGTCATACCAATCCTATTTACAGTACATGGATTGCAAGGAATCCATTGGGATAAAATAAATAAGCACACAGGCAGTTATGCATAGCTTGTCTCTGTGGCCCCGTAGAGAGAAAGACATCAAGCACTTTATTATTAGCTGGTTATTAGTCAATGAAGCGTGGGAATACCAGGCGGTTGGGCAGCCATTTCCCTCCTAATCACCAGGGCACTCAGTCAAGACCACCTCAGACAGCAGGCTTCTCTTCATACCAGACTATGACACACCTCAATCAGTTATCCTTATCCATAACCAGCCAATGCCAACCATGAATGTATTTTATAGGAACTAAACCGGACCGTAGTTTTGACCTGTATGTAAAATCAAATGAGGGTTCATGTTATTAACCCAGCCTGAAAGCTAAATGACATGAACTCGCAAATCTGAGGTTTGCTTTAGCAGGTGCATCAGAAATGTTCAAATGCCATTCAGACTATAGAGGCAAGAAGCTCCTGTGTACTGCACTTGCAAACCAGTCTGAGCTGCAGGCTGTAAATAGCACACAAAAGGAATATTTTCTGTGAAATATTTATTAACATGAGTATACATTTTTACATAACTCTGTACGCAGATGGATAGCTCATTGTGGTCCTCTGTAGCTCAATTGGTAGAGCATGGCGCTTGTAACGCCAGGGTAGTGGGTTTGAACCCCGGGACCACCCATACGTTGAAAAAAATGTATGCACACATGACTGTAAGTCGCTTTGGATAAAAGCGTCTGCTAAAATGGCATATTATTATCATAATAGACCAATTAAATCTGACTGTTCTGTTGCATTAGCATCAATTTAAACACTCAATGCCTTTGTCAGCCCCCACTGACCCCTTTTCTTTCTTGTATAGAATGTGTAATGTTAATACACTGCTCAAAAAAATAAAGGGAACACTTAAACAACACAATGTAACTCCAAGTCAATCACACTTCTGCGAAATCAAACTGTCCACTGAGGAAGCAACACTGATTGACAATACATTTCACATGCTGTTGTGCAAATGGAATAGACAACAGGTGGAAATTATAGGCAATTAGCAAGACACCCCCAATAAAGGACTGGTTTTGCAGGTGGTGACCACAGACCACTTCTCAGTTCCTATGCTTCCTGGCTGATGTTTTGGTCACTTTTGAATGGTGGCGGTGCTTTCACTCTAGTGGTAGCATGAGACGGACTCTACAACCCACACAAGTGGCTCAGGTAGTGCAGCTCATCCAGGATGGCACATCAATGCGAGCTGTGGCAAGAAGGTTTGCTGTGTCTGTCAGCGTAGTCTCCAGAGCATGGAGGCGCTACCAGGAGACAGGCCAGTACATCAGGAGACGTGGAGGAGGCCGTAGGAGGGCAACAACCCAGCAGCAGAACTGCTACCTCCGCCTTTGTGCAAGGAGGAGCAGGAGGAGCACTGCTAGAGCCCTGCAAAATGACCTCCAGCAGGCCACAAATGTGCAGGTCTCTGCTCAAATGGTCAGAAACAGACTCCATGAGGGTGGTATGAGGGCCTGACGTCCACAGGTGGGGGTTGTGCTTACAGCCCAACACCGTGCACGACGTTTGGCATTTGCCAGAGAACACCAAGATTGGCAAATTCGCCATTGGCGCCCTGTGCTCTTCACAGATGAAAGCATGTTCACACTGAGCACATGTGACAGACGTGACAGAGTTTGGAGACGCCATGGAGAACGTTCTGCTGCCTGCAACATCCTCCAGCATGACCGGTTTGGCGGTGGGTCAGTCATGGTGTGGGGTGGCATTTCTTAGGGGGGCCGCACAGCCCTCCATGTGCTCGCCAGAGGTAGCCTGACTGCCATTAGGTACCGAGATGAGATCCTCAGACCCCTTGTGAGACCATATGCTGGTGCGGTTGGCCCTGGGTTCCTCCTAATGCAAGACAATGCTAGACCTCATGTGGCTGGAGTGTGTCAGCAGTTCTGCAAGAGGAAGGCATTGATGCTATGGACCGCCCGTTCCCCAGACCTGAATCCAATTGAGCACATCTGGGACATCATGTCTCGCTCCATCCACCAACGCCACGTTGCACCAAAGACTGTCCAGGAGTTGGCGGATGCTTTAGTCCAGGTCTGGGAGGAGATCCCTCAGGAGACCATCCGCCCCCTCATCAGGAGCATGCCCAGGCGTTGTAGGGAGGTCATACAGGCACGTGGAGACCACACACACTACTGAGCCTAATTTTGACTTGTTTTAAGGACATTACATCAAAGTTGGACCAGCCTGTAGTGTGGTTTTCCACTTTAATTTTGAGGGTGACTCCAAATCCAGACCTCCATGGGTTGATCAATTTGATTTCCATTGATAATTTTTGTGTGATTTTGTTGTCAGTACATTCAACTATGTAAAGAAAAAAGTATTTAATAAGATTATTTCATTCATTCAGATCTAGGATGTGTTGTTTAAGTGTTCCCTTTATTTTTTTGAGCAGTGTATATGTGACCACCACCAAAGCAAAACAGTGATATTGATAGGAAGAAAATATACAACGTTGTGCAATATTGCCATTAAACAACTGAACCTAGCACTCTAAATCGTCCCAACAAAATCAGAGACAAAAACATTTCTGTACCTCTCTGAAACTGAACATAAAGCCATCATTCGTGACATTAACCCTTGAGAATCACCTTCAGACACATTGTAGATAACTGTCTGTAAGCATGTGTGTTTTTGATTGAGCAGCAAAATCGTGGTAAATGCCCTTATACCTGCACTATTAAAAAATCTGTACTATTAGTAGGCTATTAATTGTTAAGAAAGGCGAAAAAAAAAACATTACTCATTTACAACCCAGGTCGTATTTTGGTACAGTATTAGATTTAGCTGAGATTGGGTAAATAAATAACATGAGAGGTTTCCAATCAGATTAAATGTACATTTATTACTTATAATAATTTATACCACCCTGAAACAGAGGTTGTGCCTGCTAATGGATGGAATAATGAGCCAGACAGAAACATACTGAACATACTGATCTGTGATCTCAGTCCAACAATTTAGCCTACAATTACTGTGTCCTCATCTGGGAACTCATAGTAGGGCACCTCCAGGTTGAGTGGGGCTGGGCCTTTCCTGATGCGGCCAGAGGCATCATAGTGAGAGCCATGGCAAGGGCAGTAGTATCCACCATAGTCACCAGCATTGGCGATGGGTACACAGCCCAGGTGGGTGCACACGCCGATGACTATGATCCATTTTGGGTTGGCGACGCGGTCCTTGTCGTGCTGGGGGTCACGAAGCTCAGCCATATCCACAGCTTCCTCTGCGGCAATCTCTTTCTCAGACCGGTGGCGGATGAACAGAGGCTTGCCCCTCCACTTGAAGGTCATATTCTTGCCCTCTGGGATCTCTCCCAGCTTGACCTCGATCTTGGACATAGCCAGGACATCAGCTGAGGCACTCATGGAAGAGATAAACTGTGTGGCCACGGTCTTGGCTGTATAGACACCCAACACGGCTGTGGCCCCGGTGACAAGGTAGGAGAAGGTTTTTCTGGACTCGCTGCTCTCCTGAGAAGATTTCTTGGGGTCAAGCAACTCAGGCCGACGGTAATCAGAGAAATCTGGCACCTTGATGTCAGTGTGAGCGAAGCGGACTGCAGCTTTTGCTGAAAAATAAAACAAGTTGTCCATTAGATAAACAATCAAAACAGTATTAAGAGATAGACAATGGCATGTGATAGGAAAGTACCAGAGGGCACATTATAGCAGCAGATGCATTCAAGTCAATAGCTAGTTAGATAGAAAATGTATGAACAGATTGTTTGAGTCAAGTTTAAATATTCAACAAAGTAGCTAGCTAGCAAGCTTTCTAAGTTAGCTAGCCCATTAGCTGGGGCATATTCATTACGTCTTGCAACCGAAAACGTTTAAGAACCAAACAGAGCAAACGTAACGAAACCTTCCTGAATTTTTCCAATAGAAACTCTTGTTATGTTGCAAAACGTTTTGCAACAGACTAAACATTTTACAACAAAATCTGCGTAATGAATACACCCTTGACCTACATGTAGTTAGCTACCAACTCCCTAGCTAAAATGTCAGGTTAAACTAGTGACCAACAAAACACTCTTCACTCTAGCCAGCAGATTCCGACCCTATCATTACACTTGTTTACACTGAGCTGCATTGGGGTCAGAATGCAATCATGGTTACATTAAGACACTGGAGACGGTGCAAGATATGGGTCAGAAAACGCACCTCAATGCATGGATGGAATATGCCACGGTCCTCAATTTTACCTTTATCCACACTGATACATCGAGAAGATTGAAATACTGTTAGTTTTCCCGGAAAACTACAGTTTCGTCCTCATGCTAGCTAGCAGTAGCCATTATGGAATGGCGCATCGCTTTGAACAACAAAAGATGCTGATTGGTTGACACTGCCATTCCAATCTTCATGAGGACGAAAAGGGCAGTTTTCTGGGAAAACAAGCAGTATTTCAATCTTCTTGATCTATCAGTGTGGATTAAGGTAACATTTGGAGTGCAGTTGCATTTCCCATCCCTGCATAGAGGTAAGCTTTCCGACCCATATCTCAAGCCGGCTCCATGGTGCCTTAATATATCCATGATTGCTTCCGAACCCCCAGTGCAGCTCAGTGTAAACAAGAGTAATGGTAGGGTCGGAATCTACTGGCTATCATCACTAAGACCCACCTGTATGGGTTACGTAATGTTATCTTAACTTGAATGATAAAAATACGACATTACTACACATCAGTAAAGGTAGCAGCTAGCTAGCTATTTAGTTAGTTATCCAGGTTGTGACCCCAGACTGCAGTAACAGAGTTTCTAAACCCAGAGACGCAACATCACGAGACTTCCGGGAACGCTTGCAAAACAGACCAAGCCAGGGTTTGCGAAGTCAATGAGAGAAGTGTTATACGCAATGACGTTTTCTGTGCATGCTTGACTAGTACACGTCAACATGGCGTCACTTACAAGCATGATCTGGGATTTCTATTGGAGAAGCAGTTTATGCCCATCTTCATACTGTACTGTCTTCGCTGCAGTGCAAACGTTGTGCCCCCATACTGCGGTGCTGCTCCTGCTAGTTACATCCTAGCCTCGTTCATCATGGACACCCGTTTGGTCCTGACCTCGCAGTCAGCTACCAGTTAGCTAGTTAACTAGCTGGCTGGCTACTCGACCGCGTCTAGCCAATGCTACACAGCTAACATTAGCGAGCTAATGAACGCTAGGCTAATTTATTAAACAATCCTCAGATTATACAGCATATCAACTGGACTTTGGTAAAATACAACTGCACGTCCTAACATCTTATGTCAATGACTTTTCCACAAGTAAAACAAATAACACGATTACTAACGTTAGCCATTAGATACTGTTAGCTAGCTAGCTTGCTTAGCTACTTACCATTTATGCTAACTGATACTGCAGGCCCAGTCTTGGGACTCTGACCGTTCAGGGACTCGCGGGTCAGGAAAGGTTTCTTCGTGTCTACCAACACTTTTTCTCCTTTTACAACCACCCCTGGAATAAGGGCTTTGAGGGGTCCAGCAACTGCATAGTTCGTAGCCTGCAAGTATGGGGAAAATGCCCCCGAACGAGCGGCAAGGGACATCATCTTTTTAGCGAGAGAGGCTCCTTGCAATGCTAGCTAGCTACGACCTTGCCTGGATTGTGCAACGGGCGCAAGCGCTGACTGCTTACGCAACACGTCAAGTGACGAAAGGACGTCTGTCAGAAGGGTTACCTTTTCTACCATGATGAGCAATAACTAATCCATTCTTCTCTTAGGGAATTCTTATCTTATTAAAATACTTAGTACTTTTCTGACACTAAATTGTGTTATGTGTTTTGTTTTACACTAGTACATTGCTCAAGTTGTGAGATAACTAATCATGACCAATCATCATTTGCTTAAGCTAATGCCCACCTTTGATATCACATTAGAAAAATACAAAACATTATGCATAGCTGCTATTTGTGCAACGGTTATACCTTGACTTCATAGGTGGTGACATATACATTTAAACATATGTCCTTTTATTATTTAAAAATGTATTCGAAATACATCTTCGTCCAAATGTAGGCCCTTGTCATGCATTGAAGACATACAAATAATTCATGAGTAAACTAGGTAGCTTTCTTGCAATGTTTGAGTCAAAAATGTAAACATAGCTGGCAACATGACTTTGTAAGCTTTAGCTAGGTAAAAACTATCTTGTGTGTGTCTGTCCCATTTTGTTTCTGTAGGCTGATGCAGAGTCAGCTGGTAGAGCACGGCGCTTGTAACGCCAAGGTAGTGGGTTCGATCCCCGGGACCACCCATACACAAAAAAAATGTATGCACGCATGACTGTAAGTCGCTTTGGATAAAAGCGTCTGCTAAATGGCATATTATTATTAAAAGAAGAGGTGAAACTGTATATATACCAAAATCTTTGGCTGAAGTTAGTGGAGAGATGTGCTGTGCAGCCCTGAAAACATGATAGCATAAGTAAACGTGTTAGCAGAGATGAATAAGGCCTGGAATGGTATATATTTTTTCCAAGGGAATGGACAAAATGTGAAAGAAAGATGTTTGGCAAGCTGCAATCCTTTAGCAAACCATGCAGTGTCACTTTTCATTCTAAATTGCTGATGCATAACTAGCCCAAGATGTAATGTTAAGGAGCGTCAGGACTGTTATACACATTGGCCGCGCCGTCGTCAATGCTTCAATTAAGAACCCAAGAGGCCCCCCTCTTGGGTGAAGGAGAGCTAATGCATAACTGAAGGGCACCGGAGTCCAATGGAGGGGTGATTTCTTTTACCATCAACAATGAACTGAAGGCCTTTGAAGGTTCCAAACTGTCATTGCAATGTCAAAGATAATGAGAATGCTCAATTAGTCTGATGTTCAATCAAGTCTAATGTTAGCTCAGCATCTGCTTTGATCGCAGGGCCGGATTACTGAACGGGCACGCAGGGCACGTGCCCTGTGGCCCCAGACCTCCAGGGGTCCCCTAACCAAAGATATTAGCTTTAAAACGGCAACATTTTCTCTTAGCCTCATGACAAAATAGAAAGGATAGGATTAACTGTAATGTCCCCAAGGGGGAAATTGTCTTAGACACACAGTACTGTTGTATACAAAATATACACTGTACATTACACACTCAACATAATACCTTGCACGTTATCCTTATCATACACATTGTACACTTCTCATATAGCCACATACATAATACTTAGCATATTCCCTTATTCTGTCAGTGGCGTACTAACACAGCTCAGCTTTACTTATTGCTGTTTAGGTATTTGATGGACATGGGAATGAAGGAGTGCTTATACCTGTTCAGCTTACACGTAGGGACCCTATAGCGCCTGCCTGAGGGGAGGAGGGACCCTATAGTGTCTGCCTGAGGGGAGGAGGGACCCTATAGTGTCTGCCTGAGTGGAGGAGGGACCCTATAGCGTCTGCCTGAGGGGAGGAGGGACCATATAGCGTCTGCCAGATGGGAGGAGCTGATACTCGGAGTGAAGTACATGGGAGGGATCTGAAATAATTTTCTGTGCTTCTGGTAACGGTCTGTTCAGAAATAGTCCACAGGGAGGGATGTTGCCTCACACCCTGACCTTCATGGCAGTTTGTATGAGGCGGGCAATTTGGGATTTCAGTTGGATTGATAAATAGCAAAACCAGACTGTGATGTCATATATAGGATACTCTCTGTGACCGCATGATGGAACAGGAGCATTCTTTTTGGTCAACTCCAAAAACCCTGAGTCTACAGTACATAGGAAATAGAGGCGTTGTTGGACTCTGGAGCAGACACTCTCTACTTGGACTTTCCAGCTCAGCACATTGTCCATGTGTACACCCAGATACTTGTACAAACTAACCTGCTATGTTGCCATTGTGAACAACCACAGGCGCGTGGACGCCGACAGATTTGGGGTCAAACACCATCGCCTCCGTCTCCTCTGTTTTCTTTACATTAAGTATGAGATGGTGCTCATTACACCACTGGACAAACCTTTGAATCTCTGACCTATACACAGTAGTATCAGCATCTTTATACATCAGACCAAAAATGTCAGTATCATCTGAGAACTTGTTATCAGGATTACTGCTAGTGCATTCATTTGTGTACAGTGTGAATAAGATGGGCAAACTCACACAACCCTGCGGGGCCCCCATGCTAATGTCTATAGCCTCAGATAGGGTATCGTTAACCCTAACCGGTTGAGTACAGCTAGTCAGGAATGAGTGGTACCACCTGATGGTATAGGGGTTAACACTGCTTTAACTGGCTGAGTAGGACATGTGGCTATATCATGTTAAACGCTGAAGTGAAATCAATAAATAACAGTATAGCATTGGCCTTGGGGTTTTCCAGATGCTTAACAATGAGATGCACTATTGTGTTGATTGCGTCATTAGTCCCACGTCTTTGCTTACAGGCAAATTGATAATGATCAACACAGGGTTCGCATCTGAACGGAGCAAGCACAACACTTCATTACTATAGGGGTCAGATCAACAGGTCTGTAGTCATCATTTTCTTTTGGACAAGGCTTTTTGGGGACTGGAGTGGTAATGGCGTTTTTCCACAATGTGTAGAACAGCATTATACAACTGCAGATTTTTTCAACACAAAAAGGTTGGTACCCCAGGGCCCCAAATGCGGTAGTCCGGCCCTGTTTGATCCATATGATGCAGGCTACCCAACATTAAATCCTTTCTATTTCAGGCATTACTTTCCTCACTGCTCACTAAAACGAAAGGCTATTGGCATTTCTAATCAATGAGCATGCAGTGGAGCTCTAGTCCTCTCAATACTGTATCTGTCATATCACACTTGACATTTGGTGCCGCTGCCTCCACAAGCAGCCTTCCTATCACTTTGAATGGCAAAAAGCAACTCGGACGTCATCAAGACACTGTCTCTCTGTCTGGCTTTCAGAACAGAGACATTTGTAGCAACATTTGTTTACCCTTACAATGGAATGTGTATTTTTTACGTATGATGGTAATGTTGAACTCTTCACTGTTCCTGTTTCAAAGGAAAACCCCTTCACACACTTCCATTCACACAAACTTCTGTTTATCTGGCCAGTAGTTGGGCACACATTGTCACCGTGCAGACCTACAAATGTGTATGTCTGAGCATTCGTCACTTCAGGGAGCTTGTGGACTTCCTGTCCTCAAGCCGTGGTAGCCAGTGAATTTAATCTCTTAAAGAGGTAATCCCACTGGGCCTTTAACAGACATACTAAATCCTTGTACCCCACTGCTGCTCCTACGCAGCTCACAGTACATTAAAAGCTGACAACTAACCTTTGACCCTCAACTCCAGTCCCATGCCGGCCTCCCACTGATGTATTCTTCTGGCACAGCTGGACTCAGCAGAGAGGAGAGGATTATGCCACTGTTGCTTTGTAACAAATGACATATCTGGACAGTCCCAAAAGTACGACTTGGGTAAACACTCACACACACTTTTTCATGCCCAGTTCCAGCCAGTAACTTCATAGTGTTTGCAATTAAACACCTTGTCTCTTCAGATTCAGTGTGATGGCATGATATTACAGTGGGGAGAACAAGTATTTGATACACTGCCGATTTTGCAGGTTTTTCTACTTACAAAGCATGTAGAGGTCTGTAATTTTTATCATAGGTACACTTCAACTGTGAGAGACGGAATCTAAAACAAAAATCCAGAAAATCACATTGTATGATTTTTAAGTAATTAAATTGCATTTTATTGCATGACATAAGTATTTGATCACCTACCAACCAGTAAGAATTCCGGCTCTCACAGACCTGTTAGTTATTCTTTAAGAAGCCCTCCTGTTCTCCACTCATTACCTGTATTAACTGCACCTGTTTGAACTCGTTACCTGTATAAAAGACACCTGTCCACACACTCAATCAAACAGACTCCAACCTCTCCACAATGGCCAAGACAAGAGAGCTTTGTAAGGACATCAGGGATAAAATTGTAGACCTGCACAAGGCTGGGATGGGCTACAGGACAATAGGCAAGCAGCTTGGTGAGAAGGCAACAACTGTTGGCACAATTATTAGAAAATGGAAGAAGTTCAAGATGACGGTCAATCACCCTCGGTCTGGGGCTCCATGCAAGATCTCACCTCGTGGGGCATCAATGATCATGAGGAAGGTGAGGGATCAGCCCAGAACTACACGGCAGGACCTGGTCAATGACCTGAAGAGAGCTGGGACCACAGTCTCAAAGAAAACCATTAGTAACACACTATGCCGTCATTTATTAAAATCCTGCAGCGCACGCAAGGTCCCCCTGCTCAAGCCAGTGCATGTCCAGGCCCGTCTGAAGTTTGCCAATGACCATCTGGATGATCCAGAGGAGGAATGGGAGAAGGTAATGTGGTCTGATGAGACAAAAATTGAGCTTTTTGGTCTAAACTCCACTCGCCGTGTTTGGAGGAAGAAGAAGGATGAGTACAACCCCAAGAACACCATCCCAACCGTGAAGCATGGAGGTGGAAACATCATTCTTTGGGGATGCTTTTCTGCAAAGGGGACAGGACGACTGCACCGTATTGAGGGGAGGATGGATGGGGCCATGTATCGCGAGATCTTGGCCAACAACCTCCTTCCCTCAGTAAGAGCATTGAAGATGGGTCGTGGCTGGGTCTTCCAGCATGACAACGACCCGAAACACACAGCCAGGGCAACTAAGGAGTGGCTCCGTAAGAAGCATGTCAAGGTC